GAGCTGAACAGAAAATTTCAAAGGTCAGCTCAAGAAGACAGGGTCAAATATTACAATGAAGTATGCAAAGATCTGGAGTCAGAAAACCAAAAGGTAATAACACACTCAGCATTTCTCAAGCTGGGGAAACTGAAGAAAAAATTCAAGCCTCGACTTTTGTTACTGAAGGATTCTCTGGGAAAATTATTGAATGATGCAGAAAGCATCAAAAGAAGATAGACGGAATATACAGATTCACTGTACTAAAAAGAAATGGTTGATGTTCAACTGTTTCAATAGGTATCATATGATCAAGAGCCAATGATACTGAAGGAAGAAGTCCAAGGTGCATTGAAGGAATTGGCAAAGAACAAGGAACCAAGAATTGATGAAACAAAAATTGAAATCTTTCAAGAGAGTGAGGTGGCACAGGAGGCACTCACTCATCTCTGCCAAGAAATTTGGGAGACAACAATCTGGCTGACTGATTGGAAGAGATCTGTGTTAGTACCCATTCCAAAGAGAGGTGACCCAATGGAATGTGGAAACCATCAGACAATATCTTTGATATCCCGTGTGATTAAATTTTATTAAAGGTAATACAAAAATGGCTGCAAGCATACATTGACAGAGAACTTCCAGAGGTTCAAGCCGGATTCAGAAGAGGCTGTGGAATGACGGATATCACTGCTGATATCTGATGGATCTTAGCTGAAAGCAGAAAATACCACAAAGATGTTTACCTATGCTTTATTGACTACATAAAGGCTTTCGATTGTGTGGATCATGAAAAGCTATGGACAACACTGGTAAGTATGAGTATTCCTGAGCACTTAATTGTGTTCCTGAGGAACCTGTACATAGACCAAGAGGCAGTTGTTTGAACAGAATATAGGAACACTGAAAGGTTTAAAATTAAGAAAGGTGTGCGGCAGGGTTGTATTCTTTCACCATACTTATTCAACCTGTATGCTGAGTAAATAATCCGAGAAACTGCGTTATATGAAGAAAAACGTGATATCAGGATTGGAGGAAGACTCATTAGCAGCTTGCACTATGCATATCATACAACCTTGCTTGCTAAAAGTGAAGAGAACTTAAAATATTTACTGATGAAGATCGAAGACCACAGCCTTCAGTATGTGATTGCAACTCAATTAACCAATTAACAACGTTCTTATCAACGGGGAAAAGATTGAAGTTGTCAAGGACTTCATTCTTCATAGATCAACCATCAACACTCATGGAAGCAGCAGGCAAGAAATCAAACGACATATTGCATTAGGCAAATCTGCTGCACAAGACCTTTTTCAAGTGTTAAAGAGCAAAGATGTCAGCTTGAGGACTAAGGTGTGCCTGACCCAAGCCATGATATTTTCAATAGCCTCATATGCATGCGAAAACTGAACAATGAATGAGGAAGACCGTAGAAGAACTGATGCATTTGAGTAAGGTGTTGGAGAAGAATATTGAAAGTGCCATAGGCTGACAAAAGAACAAACAGATCTGTGTTGGAAGAAGTGCAGCCAGAGTGCTCCCTGGAGGCCACGATGGGCAAACTTCATCTCTCATAATTAGGACATATTTTCAGGAGGGACCAGTCACTGGAAAAGGATATCATGTGTGATAAGGTGGAGGGTCAGAGAAGGAGAGGAAGACCCCTAGTGAGATGGACTGGCAAAGCGGTAGGTAGCATCAATGGGTTCAAACGTAACAACAATTATGAGGCTAGCCCAGGACTGGGCAGTGTTTTGTTCTGTTGTACATAGGGTCGCTGTTGAGAAGCTACTGACTCAATGTTACCTAAAAACAACAACAAGAAGAACAATCAGAAAAAAGAATGAAAACATCTGAAGAAAGCCCAAGAGTTATGTGGGACCCCTTGGAGAAGAAAAAGTTACAGAATATCAGAACAGTAAGAAAACATTAAAAGCATAGAGAAAACTGTTGAGTTGTCAGAAGAAAACTTCCCTAACTTTATTAAAGAAGAATAAACAAGCACACAAAAATCTGAGCAAACAACAAATAGATCCCCAAAGATGTATTACCAAGATGTTTTACCAAGTTTCTAAAACATAAGGCAAGACAAGAATCTTGAGAGCTGCACAGAAAAAAACAAAAAGTTGCATACAAAGGAGAACCAATGAGCCTAAGCTCTGATTTCTCAGCAGAAACCACACAGGAAAGAGAGATAAGAATCAAAACAAGAAGATATTGTCTTCCTTCAGCATTAATAACAAACTTAAAAAGAAATATATATATATATATATAATAACATATGCTGGTGAGGATGTAGAGAAACTGGGACTCTCCTACACTGCTGGTAGGACCGTAAAATGGTACAACCACTGTGGAACATGGCAAAGCACTTTCTTAACAAGTGGGAAATAGAAATACTGTACAACCCAGAAATCCCTCTACTTTGTATATATCCTCAAGAAATAAGAGCCGTGACACAGGTAGATATATGCACACCTAGGTTCACTGCAACACTATTCAGAATAGCAAAATGATGGAGACAGCCTAAATGCTCATCAACAGAAGAATTTCGAAATGAACTCTGGTACTTACATACAATGGAATACCATACAATGTTGAAGAATAATGGTGAATCTGCAAAACACCTCACAACACTGATAAACCTGAAGGACATCATGCTGAGTGAAATTAGTCAATCACAAAAGGAAAAATAATGTACAGTTCCATTGTTGCACCAAGTTAAAAAAAAGATTTTCTTGATTAAAGAAACATTCTACGATGGTTATACGGACGGGGGAGAAAAATTACTCATGGCTAGAGCATAGACATGTTACATGGATGACAGGGCAGGCAATATACCACAAGAGGGAAGTTGGCAGAGAAAAGGAGAAGGTAGCAGGAGATACAGGGAGGAAAGCAAGAGTTAAAGAGAATAGACATAAATACTATTAACTGATGGTACATGGAGAGGATTGCAGTCATTGAGATGAAATGAAATGCATGATTTGTTCAATGTAAAACTGATGATCTGCTCTGTAAATTCTCAACCAATTCACAGTAGAAAGTTTAAAACACACACTCAAAAAAAAAAACAAAACAATGTGGAAAAATAAAGCATAACAAGTGTGAGCATGGCACAAGCCCGAGCAGTGTCTCATTCTGTTGTTTGTAGGGTTGCTACGAGTTAGCACCCATTCAATGACACCTAACAATAACAACTATTAGAAGAAGTTGAGAAAAGATCTTCACACTAAAAGAAAAACTCATAGTGGTTACCAGGGGTGGGAAGGAAGGGAGAGTAATACATTGGCTAGTGTGTAGACCCATGTTAAGCTGAATGACAGTAAGACAAAAGTTGATAAAAAAAAAAAAAAAATTGTTGGCAGCAGGGGAAACACAGAGAGAAGTGCTAGAGTTCAAGGCAACAGAGGCAAATACTGATATATACATACTCCTGAAATAACTGTGACCTAGTCCTGGTGTGGCACTGTGGGTTAATGCACCAGACAGCAAAGCCGTTTTAACTTCAAGGTCGGTGGTTCAAGTTCACCAGCTGCTCCTTGGAAACACTATACAGGGTCACTATGGGTCAAAATCGACTCAACTCGACAGCACTTATCAACAACAACATGCGTAGATGCACAGATAGACACAAAAGATGAATGTGAGTGGGCTAGAGACTGGGAGCATACCTACAAATATAGTTTGGACAGAGAGTATCTGTACACTGTAAATATATCCATGAATGTGGTGGAGCATACAGTGGACAAGTTATGATAACTTCTTAGGCATTACCAAGTACCTTGAGGGAATCAGGACACCATGGTCAACTGGCATAAAATAGGCCACAAGACAGTGTTCTAAATCCTACATTGGTGAGTAGCATCTGGGTCTTAGAAGCTCGTGAACAGTCACCTAAATTACAACTATTCATCTCTACCTTCCCATACACAAAAAGAGTGATGAAAATTGAAGAGCTTGGAAACAGTCCAGAGGACTAACAGATCACAGGAACATCATTCTCCATGAACCTGACACCAGAAGAACTAGATAGTACCCAGCTATCACTACCACCTCTGAAAGGGATCACTTTAGAGTATTCCTAGATAGAGTGTGAGAGAATGTGTAACAAAACTCAAAATCATTTTTAAAAATTAAGGTTTATAGATCAGATAAAGATAGGTGATAACCCCAAGACTACAGCCCTTGGTCATCTTTCAAGGCTGAAACTGAACTCACACCCACGGCCCAATTCTCAGCAAAACAAGAAATAGGTCTCTAAGGGGAACGACAACACTAATGAGGAATGCACACCGTAGACTTGTCAACCATTTGATATCAAAATGGCAAGATTTACCCAAGGACAAAATTATGAGGGCAGGGAAAGAAAAAAGGAATGAGACCAACAATCCCAGGGAAGAAGTGGTATACGTGATGTTACATTGAGGGAATTACAATCTACAAGATAACACAAAATGCGTCTGTCTGATTGGTGAATATACAGCATCATAAAAACCCGGATCTAGAAAAGAGTCATTCAACCCAACCCCATAAAAGTTCTCTCCCTCTCTCTCTTTCACACACATTCATTTCTGCCTGATAATGACTTTTCAAACACAGCTACTAAAAGAGAACCTGTATGTTATTAAAAGTAGCTGTCATATTCTATATAGTTATAAATATATAAGTAGTGCATGACCATTTCATTCATGAGATCGTCTGTTGGTTTTAGAACTATCTTACTACTTTTGTGGTCCAAATTTGGCACCATCATGGTCCATTAGAGAAAGCATCCATAAAAATACAATTAAGCTATTGTTAATTCCAGAGCTATTTTGAAAATCTTGCCAAAGCATTTACACTGTGATTCTAAATGATCTTTAAAAGTTCCCAAACATCAATGATCTTTCATGCATCAACGATCTTGTCTATCCAATGTCTTAACACATGCTTTATATTTGCAAAAAATGGTTATCATTTATAAACATTAAATAACCTACAAAGCTGAAGTTATGAAAAATGGTCATGAAAGCAGCAAATACCTGAGGTACTCACAGCTGTGGAGTAGGGATTATGAGTTCCAGTATTTTCAGCCCAGCAACCACATCCATAAAGAGCAGCCTGGAAAAAGAAAATAGGGAACAATATTTCTGAAATATTTTCTGTAATTATCAGCTTTCAACAAAGGCCAAAATCATACCCAGTTAATAAAGCCTCGTTTATTAATGATGTGCTGCTGATGATAATACTCAATCGTTTTGACACTATCAAAACTTCATTTTCAGCTATCCTAATGATCTAAGTATTTTCATAATGTAGCAAAAGAAAGGTTCTTAGTCTCATCAGCAGTAATTTTGCCACACTGAAAACCCTTCCCCTCATTTTAACCTGTCAGCCAATTGCTCTCCTGAGCCCTTGAGATCACTGTTGTTGCTGCTGTTAAGTGCCATCGAGTCGACCCACAGCAACCCTGTATAGGGTTTCTGAGGAGCAGCTGTGAGTTTGAACCACTGACCTTACAGTTCAAATAGCTTTTCTAGTCTGGCGCACTAACTCACAGCGCCATACCAGGACTCCATCACTGTAGTTGACTTAAAACAGTGGTTCTCAAACTAGGTGTGCATTTTCACACTACATTTGTTTCTCAAACTTGATTGTTGTTAATTGATGTCAAATTGGTTCTAACGACAACCCTGTATAGGGTTTCCAAGGATCTGCTGGTAGGTTTGAACCTCTGATCAAAGCAGTCCAGTTAGTAGTCCTGGGCTTATCCCTACTGCTAGTAGATTCAAACTACTAAACTCTGGTTTATCAGCTCAGTGTGTAATCCACTACACTACCAGAGATAGTCTTAGAGAAGATAACAGAAAGAACTAGAGGTTTCTTATCCATTTATTTGGGCAAAACACGACAACCTTAATGCAGGTATAAAAAAAAAACCCAAACCAAGGTTTCTTCTTTTTGATAGATAACTGTATTAAAAATGTATTATTAAAGACATTATCTGGGAGTACAGTGGTTCCACATGATAAACACTGGATTATGAACCACACGGTCCACAGTTTAAGCCTGCAGGCCACTCCATGGAAGAAAGATGAGGTTTTCTGGTCCCAGGAAGATTTAAAGCCTCAGAAACCCTATATGGGGTGTCTCTATGAGTAAAAAATGACTCAATGGCATGTAACAACAGCAATAACAAAGACATTTTCATGCAGTAAGATTAATCATACGAGTATTATTTTATTTTTATTATAATATCATATAATATTATAAATTACAATACTATAAGCACAGAACTTCACCAAATCACAAGATCACTCCTTGGAAGAAAGATAAGACTTTCTGCTCCCACAAAGATTTAAAGCCATAGAAACGGTATACAGGGTCACAATGAGTTGGAACTAACTGGACAGTATTTAACAACAGCAACAACACACTGCTGAGTTGGTTCCTACTCTATAGCGACCCTATATAGGGTTTCCAAGCAGCAGCTGGAACTTTGAACCACCACCCTTTCAGTTCAAACTGACTTTGGAGTCCAGTGCTTATCCTACAGTGCCATACCAGAATGCATCAAAACAACAATGAGATATCATCTTAATTCAGTATTAATAGCAAAGTTCTCAAAACCAGAAAACAACCAATGCTGGAGAGGGTGTGCAGAGGATATGCCTACACTGCTGGAGGGACTGTAAAATGGTAAAACCACTGTTGAAAACGGTATGATGCTTTCTCACAAAGTTGAGAATGGAACTACCACATGACCCAGCAATCCTTCTACTTGGTATATGTACTCCAGGAATAAGAACTACGACACGACTAGATATTGCACATCCATGTTTGCTGCAGCGCTATTCACAACAGCAAAAAGATGGGAGACCGTTTAAATGCCCATCAACAGAAAAATAATTAAACAAACTTTGGTACACACAAACAGTGGAACATTACTCAACACTGAAGAATAATGAAGACTACAAAACACCTCACAACATGGGTAAACGTGGAGGACGTTATGCTGAGTGAAATTTGTCAATCACAAAATGTCAACTATTACATGAAACCACTGTTATAAAAAGTTACAATTTTCTTGCTAAATGAAACATTTTACGATGGTTACCGGGTTGGTAGGGGTTAGGGGAGAGGGGTAAAAAATTAAGTGAATAAATATTGTTAATTGGAAGTGCATGGAATGATTGCCATCATTGTAATGACATTAAATGTGTAACTTGTTGAATCTGGAACTGATAGTCTGTTCTGTAAACCTTCATTCAATTAATTCAAAATAAATATTTTAAAAAGAAAAAAAATACACTTTAGTTTTTGTTACAGAATCACATGAATTAACACACGCATTGACCACAATGTCTAAAACAGAAGAATGTGTTAAATGGTAGGTGTAGTTGTTATTACTAAGAACCATGATGTTGATGTTAAGTGTTGCCAACTCTGTATAGAGTTTCTAAGGAATAAGTAATTCCAATGTATTATTTAATTTAAACTCCTAGAATTTTGTAAGATAGCCATTTACTCCAATTTTACAGTTTTGGGAACTGGAGATTAAAGATAAGTACTTTGTCTTTAGTAAGTGGGGAGCTGAGATTAGAATAAAGCTTTACCTAAATCCAAAGTCCACAGTCTTTAACTCCTAAACTCCACTGTTTGTGTATGTGTGTCAGTTTGGGGGGATGGGTGTGTATTGCAATATAATAAGTAGTTTCTCATGTCCAAGTTGTAAATTCCAATTATTACAGTAATGAATCAAATAAATTCTAATGTAAACAAACATTTTAACATCTGAACTGTTATCACGTATCTGGAGCAGGGTAATAAGTGAAATATTTTAAACAGCTATTTGTACATTAAATATGAACTTGAAAGTATTAGTTTTAGTACATTTATAAAAAATAACTAGTGCTTGATTTAACTTGTGTTTGTATTTTATCAGTCTGTAATTGAGTTCTTCTGCATCAACTCAAATAAAACAGTATCCTGATCCCCAAGAACAACATTTCTCCTCTCATCTGATGAATGCACACAAGTATTTCCAGGCTTCTTACAGCTCTCCCTTATAAGCAATATAGCATTTTCCATTAAGCACCTTTACTACTCTCCTTCACATGCCTTGCTAATTTTTCACTTCTAACAAACATTTTCAAAAAGTAGCCAAGTGCAAGAAATGATTGGCTTACAAGCTTTCATGAGGGAGCCCAGATACAGAGGGCACGGAGGAAAGTAGAATCTCCACTGAGTAGTAGCCAATCTCTCTGGGCGGGGCTGATGAGAGGAGATGGGGATAGCACTCATATAGTCCAATTGTGAATAATTACTATCAGGACTGACTGTGAGGGTTGGAAATATAAAGGTAGATGTTTTGTAGCAAAAGGAGGGGAGTGATTGACTTTGCAGTCTAGGAGGGGAGGTCTCTGGGACCATCAAGGAAGAAGAGCGGAGAGCGGGACCCTACCCAGAGAAGCAGTGACACCAGAGATGGAGGCAGAGATGATGACGTGGAGAGATGAAGTGGTTGGGGACTTTAGACCCAGAGAGGGAGAGGGGCTGTGTGGTAGTGTATACCCTTTGGTTGGTTGATGATGCATGGCGAGGATTGTAACCATGGCAATGAAATGATATACAATAGGATGAATGTAAAGCTAATATTCTCCAATGTAAACTATCACATAATCCACAATAAAACATTAAAAAAAAAAAAATAGCTAAGTGGGGCAAATCATCTAAGTTTTACAGAAGCATTTCTTATTCCAGGACGGTCCTACATGTAGTGGCAAAACGGTTTCAAGACTGTCAGATGTGTACCCTGTTAATATAGAACAGGACCATCTTGGCCCCTGCTGTTGCTATATGGCAACCCAAACAAACAGTAAACAGTGAGAAAGTACGGAGAATTGCAATGTAATAAAGGTGGCTCTGCTAGTTTCTTTCTCTTTCTCCACGAGGATATCCAAATCTGATAGGTCTTGCTTGATATTCTAAACTTGACAGCTACCCACGTTTTTATAACGTGGAAAAGCACCATGACCAGACAAAGGCTTTTTATAATGAGTTCAAAGCATTATACACATGTTAAATAATCGTTCTACACAAATTCCCTGTACAGTAAAGCGAAGAGGAGCACAAAATTAATCATTCTCTCCCATTTCCACCGAGTACTGGATGGTAAGTGGCTTATCCACAAGGAAGAGCAGATCAGAGGTAATCGTTTCAGGCCTTGCAAAGATGCCCCCAGGTATCAGATCACGGCTCCAAACATTTACTAACCACCATGATCAACCACGACAATGACTCTTCTTCAAATTTGAGGAGCAAAGCAAAGACAGCATGTCAAGAAGAGCTCCATATGTAACCTAAGATCCAAAGACCAAGTAGAAATACACTCTTCGCAATTGTTTTCATGGAATCCATTAGTGTCTCCAATTCATTTGTTCACTCAACAAATGTTTATTAAGCACCTAAGTAATGTGCCAAATTGGTTTGTACTCTAAAGCTTACAAAAGAAATTGGATTGTCAACTTTTATTCCCAATAATGAACTAAAGACTGGAGACTGGTGGGGAAGTTGAAAAGAATATGCAAGCAAACTGAGAATATTCAAGTTTCACAGAAATCAGACCCTTCTCATTTCTAGTATTGATGAATGAGATCACATGAAATGCTGACTAGTCTATAAATGGCTGAAATGTTTATGTAGTACAGGAATGAAGATTCAAATGTTCCTGTTCTTGAGGAGGAAATAAATTATGTGCTCTACTATCATTCTTCCACCAAAAGAACACTCAACAATATAGTCAGATACTACTTGCTCTTAAGCAGACTGATATTAAAAAAAAGGGGGGGGGGTCAACAACTATTTGTTAAATGTCTACTAACTATACAGACCAGTGCCCAGATTGCTCAAAATAGCGGAATACAGAATCTTTGTTACTAGAAGCCATCAATCATCTCTAATTTACAACCACCCTATATACAACAGGAAATCTGGTATGGTGCTTTGGGTTAATGCGCTGAACTGCAAGGTCGCCTTGAACCACAAGGTCAGCAGTTCAAACTCACCAGCCACTCCTGGAAACCCTATACAGGGTTGCTATGAGTTGGCACCAACTTGACAGCACTTAACAACAACATATACAACAGAATTAAGTACTGCCTGGTCCTGCCCTATCTTCACATTCGTCTCTATTATTTCAGTCCATTGTTGCAGTCATGGTGTCAGTTCAATTCACGAAGGGTTTCTCTCTTTTTTACTCTTCCCTTTATCAAGCATTGGTCCTTCCTACAGACATGCCAAAGTAAGCGAGACAAAATCTCACCATTCTTGCTTCCAAAGGAGCATTCTAATTGATTTAGTATAACTCATCAACCAAATACCTCTTCAAAAAAATAGCACAATTCTGAACAGATATTTGGTTGATGATTTATAGCAAATAAATGTTAAAGAACAGAATCATTTATGTTTTCTAAAGAAAAAGCTGCTTCTACTGGCTAAATAAGGAGCTCTGGTAGAGCAGTGGTTACGAATTGGCTGTGAACCTCAAGGTCAGCAGTTCGAAACTACCAGCTGTTCTGTGGGAGAAAGATGAGGCTTTCTGCTCCCATAAAGATTTACAGCCTTAGAAACCCTGTACAGGGTAGCTATGAGTCAGAATCGACTCCTTGGCACATCACCACCACGACCACCAATGGCTAAATAAAATTCCATGCTTTAACTAGAAAAGCTAGCTTATAAAACCCATAATTAATTACCTGCCCCACTCGTCCTGGATGTTTCAAGGCCAAGCCTCCACTGGAGACAGCAGCAGCAACATTACCTTCTTGATCCACAACCACAGCACCTACTGTGTCCAAAGTGCCCGAGTCATTTTCCTGTGGAGCAAAAGAGGCATGAATATTGGTTCAGCATGGTGTGTGATAACTTGATATGACATAGCATTTCTCAGAACAATCATTATATATCATAAAATTTGAGCAAATTCTTCAGCAGAACATTGAGCAATCTCCTAAAATTATCTATTGTCATTTAAATACTGGTCATGTCTAAATATATTTTCTACTGAAAATTCCTCAACAAAAGGTGTCTTATTGCCTTTTTTCTAATCAAAAGTCAATTACTATTCTTTAATAATGATGCTAACACAGCTTTTTAATTGAAATCAATTATTAATTTAACATAAATTACAATATATAATAATGACCCATCCATCCACTACTACCAAGTCAATTCCAACTCAATGCAACCTTATAAAATAAAGTACAACTGTCCTATAAGGTCCCCAAGCCTGTAGT